TCTGTCGTTAGGACGAGCCACTTGAGAGCGCCCATCTAGAATAACAGTTTATAATTTGTCTTGTGCCGGGGCGGACCTGCGGGGCTCCCCGTGGAGACCGTGGCTCCAGTGACGGGAGATGATTTGTCTCAAATCTCATTAACTTCTGGTCACCAGATGGTGGGAAGTGCTGAGGACTCGGCTCGGAGCAGATGCTGGGTACTAGGGAAACTGTAGCCTCCACCAGGCCTTTCTACGGGAATACGGATCGTAGAATTCGGCAAAAAAAAGAGAGTAAAATTGGCCAAGGGAGTCCGGTCGCGGGGACTCCCCCGGAGGTACTAGTAGTTTCTATCCCTGCGCGGCCAGTCAAACCCCAAGACGGCCAAACTCCCCTGGCAAATATTCTCCTATATCATATATAGCCAGCGTAGTGAGTCTGGTACCGTAGAGACTACTAGTATATTACCAGACTTCGGGAGGCGGCTGGAAAGACTAGAAATCGGTCAAATAGAGAGATAGCATTCCGGGGGAGTTGGTCCGCTATAGAGTATATTTTTCAAACTGTTCTCACCAGCAGAACAACTCTTCGCAACGTTTTCTGAGTCAGCCGGGACTCTTCCCTGAAACGTAACTATTTCCTAAAGTATCGATCTCTTATACGAGAAAGTTCGCCATAGACAGGGAGGATCTGAGGCAAGTTGTTCCACAGAACAAGATATAAACGGGTTCTTTTTAGTTTAGGTTCATTCATTTGCCCTATAGTGCCCTGACTTTGCGCGATGATCTTAAGTTAAAACTAAACTCTTTCTATATGCTATGCTCATAAAATGCCATTTATTAAAGAAAAAAAGACAAAATAATCACCGATTCTGAACAGTACATGACATGATTCAGACGACCTTCCTCTTTTTCTAGGAAACTCAGGAACTTGAGGAAGCCGTTCAAGACCGTCAGTTGGATCCCAGCCAAGAGACAACCATAGCTTTCAGATGAGGGCATGAGGCGACCATAATTCTGAGCTGGTCGCGTGAGAAAGGTTCATACAATCTGCAGTAAAAAACGTGGTGCCGTGAAAACTCCGCGGGGGAGACAGGAGACAGGTCAACAGAAGCACGTGCGAGTCATTCAGCACAAGGTATGTCGTTTGGGCAGCATTACATAACTTTGAAATGGAAGAAAAAAAACATGAAGTCAATAGTGCGGAGAAATATTAGCAACCGACAAATTCAAATTTAACAGATTTCCCACACTAAAAACAATGACGGTGTTTAACGCCAGGGGGTCTAAATATCAAGACAGCACATCGATATCTAAAGCCTTCTTGAATCATTGTGTTTACAGACAGACACACACACACGCACGCGCGCACGCGCGCGCACGCACACACACATGCACAAACACACAAACACAAACGCTACGGAAAACATAACTTTTTTCGTGAAGGTAAAAGTCAACAAAACATAACTGTACCAACTTTTCTTTTTTTTTTCTACAGGAAGACTATATAATCCTCTAAAGCCCAAAGTTCCTCCGGGCGAAGCAGAAATATTTCAAGTTCCACCAAGTTGGCAGCGGCCCGGCAGCCTAGCCTCCGTATCAGGCTTATAGAACTGGGGATTTGGTGGTCTTCGGCTGTTTTCTGATTAGACCAGTTTTAAAAACGGGGGTAATTCAACCAGGCCGGCTATGTTGTCTATATGCAATCAGAAAATAGCATATAAAAGCTCCCAGAGACCCTGAAGACCCCCAAACCGCCCAGTTTTTGGCATGCTTTGGAGGCTAGCGGTTGTAGGGTATCGGCAGCCGACACATCAGTAAGGGAGCCGCCCGGCGCATTCCTGCAGAAATGGGGTCACGATCGGTCATTATCGCCGATATTTCCCCAGTGGAAGCGGGGCGTTCTCGCGTTACTTACGGGTCTCGATATGAACTTGTTTCGTGGCCGTCCCAAAAGTGTGCTCTCTTTGTTGTTAGGGTTGTATATTTTAGGCGTTTTGGTGGGCTTTCTACGCAGCTACATTGACAGCTTTTCATATTCCTTGGTATATTATAAAGCCATTAAAGGCCCATTGAAGAAGAACTGACAAATTAGAAAGACGACGAACCGCCTTTAAAACGTCCAAAACAAACCTTATCTGCACTTGGAGAGCAGCAAAAGTGCACAAATGAGCGAGGGATGATTCGATTGTCCCAAGCTGATTTTGTTGAAAGGATGTCTATAACTGTATCTGTATCTGTATAGCCGATATAACCTCCCTTCGGGGTAACACACCAGCTTCGCAGGCACGCGGCGCGGCGGCAGCTAGATACATCACACCGAACGACTTGTTACACTCAACCTTTTCACATTTACTTGCAAGATTTGTGCATAGGTAGGCGCTGCAATATAATAAAGGGAGAATATTTTGATAATAAAAGTATAATGACCCAACAACTTGAAGGGAAGGCGTTTATTTGAACGGTAACTGTCAGTGAATAGCACCCAAATTAACGCCCCCTCCTGTCACAGTTTTACAGTTAACAGTGTTAGTAGGATGTACAGACAATCTTATAAGCATTTCGGTGCCAACTGCTGTCTTTTTATCTGTGAGAAAATCTACTCTACAAACCCCGATCTTCCTTTGGGACGAGAAACATTCCAAGTCAGGAGTTAACGGTTGAGAGTTGTGTTAGGTGAACTTCCACGGGAACTTTGTCAGCTGCGAGACGTTGTAGTGTTAGTAACAGTAGCGGTGCCCACAACAGTGACGTGATACGCTGTGGGGAGGACTAGACTTCAGAGTTCAGACCTTCCCCAAGGAAAATGCTGTTCTCATACCACAGTAGCCTCGGTGACAGACACTTTGGAGTTTTTCTTTCTTTTCTAACGAACAAGTGTCAGGACATTGTCAGCTCAGAGGCTTTGTACTGTTTTCGGAGTTCCCAACAACAGAGTCAGAGAGACCCGATCCCGACCATACTAGCTATACTGGTGACAGACACGCTGGGTCCTTAGGAAAGCCTGATGGAGGCTAGCAGAAAGCTGCAGCGTTGTTGTGTTTACCTAGCTTCATTGATGCCTTAGGACTTTTTGTCAGCTCCGAGGCTTTGTACAGTTTTCAGACATAGAGTTTTCCACAACACAGAGAGAACCGATCCCGACCTAGCCTGGATGCCAGACCCAAAGCACACTGGACACAAAATATCTCAGTGTGCTAGGCTCACTGACATATTTGTGTCCAGTGTGCTATGGGTCTGGAACCCAGGCTAATCCCGACCATACTCCCCGTCCTGGTGACGCACAAGCCAAGCCCTTAGGAAAGCCTAGTGGATGCTAGTAGCGTTGTTGTGCCGATCCACAAGCCGGGTCCTTAGCAAAGCCTGGTGGATGCTAGGAGTAGGAGAAAGCTGCAGTGTTGTCCGGAGGCTTTGCACTGTTTTCAGAGTTCCCCACAACACAGAGAGAACCGATCCGGCCCATACTCCCCGTCCTGCCGATGGACAAGCCGAGTCCTTATCTTATCACCGCCCGACCCTGACCTGCCGATAACAGGTCTGATTACCCGGAATAACAGAAAAGGTTCAAAAGTGCAAACTCCTCTCAGAGGTGTCGGAATACCCGGGCATATAAACAGGCTACAGGGAGGTGCCAAGTGTGCGCAGTAGCTTTCCGTAGTAGATAGACACAGACCGGCTTGTTTGGAAAAAAATTCTGCAGCATGTTTCAGACAACGGTTATTCTCAGTCAACGTCAAAGTACCGATTATCCGAGACCAATTACTACTCAATTGACACTCTCTCTTTTTAACATTTTGAATCATGCCACCATTTGACTGCACTTCGGCGCAAGGACTGAGATTACCTCACTGGCCACCTCTAGTAGTCTCTACGTGCTGACAGAAAAATGCTAACATATCTTTTACAGTCCATCTTCTTCTTTTGGTATCTTCAACTGAGAACAAATACTGCATAATGCTTTCAAGTACATGTAGTTGCCATTTGCCAACCACGTAGCCGAGGCACCCCTACTCTTTAAATGTCTTTTAGTGAACTATTTATTGCATTCAAAGTGTACTCCTATGGCCGGATATCGTCCTCTGGTGTACCATTCAGTATTTTGCCAATTTCTACCACAGCTGTATCTCCAGCACCCTTTTGAGTCTGGTAGAGATTGTACGTGCAGCAGTTTGACACCCGAGGTGAGGGTCCCCCCAACATGTACGTATTGAGTTCAGATATATCCGGTCTTGGGGACGTTTCTGATGACTTCTGCCACGTGATAAAATAAACGCTGCTCACCTGCACCCCGGCCTCTGTACATGTGAGAACCTCCGAGTTCTCTCTCATACACACCATGTACCAGCAGATGGACAGAAACCTGTATTTCCTTACATGATTACACAAATAGTGAAATACAGCTGCTACTAGTACATAATTTACTAATCTCCAAGCAGATCCCTCTCGGTGGCAAAAAGACAGTATTGGCCAGGCAGTATCCATTGGCCAGAGAAGATCTGCGGCCACCGACGGGGGTACCGACAATAAAAACGGCCATACATAAAAAGCTAACGATCATTCCCCCACAACCTCTGCTTGGAGAGTAATAATTTACTGCTACTTTAAACTTTTTCCCGTTTAATTTGATATTATGCGATATTATGTAGAACTTCAACCATTTCAAACATCGTTGTTTTACACATTTTCTTGCTTTGTAAGCCTACCTGGGTTCAAAATGACGTTTAGGGATTAAAAGATCAACGTCGCTACGCCACAAAAACGTCTTGAAAAACTGCCCACTCCTCTGCGCAACTTATTCTCGAGCTGCGCTGAGTTGCCGACAAGGTGAAATATCGACGCTAATAAGTTATCGAAAATGACAATGTAGATGAGAAAATTTAAATAATTTGTATTTTCTGTTACGTTTTGGCGCAAAAATCTTGCCTGGACGCGCTGAAGTGTGAAATTAGGTGCTCGAAAAAACTTACCTTTGGCGGACTCTAAACAGACAGACATACAAACAAACAAACAAAGTCTCTGACCTGCACCCTGGCCTCCGTGAGGTCCGCCCTGAGAGCCAGCTGTTCGCGCATGTACACATCCGGGTAATGTGTCTTCTGGAACACGCGTTCCATCTCCTCCAGCTGGAAGCTACGTCAGCACAAAAACAACATGGGGGCGGGTCAGAATAAAAACGGCGGAAGGTTGCGTAGATGATTCACGTAGAAGGTTACGTAATGCACAATAAATCTAGCAATTACTGGACACCAGTATTTTAATTTTCAATTAAAGAAAGAAATTTTGCGTATGTAATACAACTTTTACAAAGCAAAAAACTGAATGAGTTGGGCGTTTGAGATTATCCACTACTAACTTTTATAGGTGACTGAGAATGAGTCTGAAGACACGTAATACCTTGATTTGTTCAGTAACTCAGTTACATATTGATCCAGACACACGTTTATAAAACAGATTGCCCTTGTAGTACAATGCTAAACTTGCTTCAGTTCATTCTTAGTCACTGACGGCAGACCTTAGAAGCTATCTGGTAAAAGCCTGACTTATGAAACCTTCAAACGTTGATTGAGTCTCATTACGTAATACGTTTACCTGAAATTATATAATTTTCGGTCAAGGTTTTGAAGGATCCTTCACTTAAGACTTTTACTCGCTCATGTCTGCAACATTACAAGTTTAAAGATTACTTTAAACATCTACTAGTGAATTCTTTCATCAGTGACAACTTGGAAGGATAAGGATACTAACCTCCAAATTTTCGATGGCTATCAGTCCATCTTGTTCACGGAGTTGACTGATAGCCATCGAAAATTTGGAGGTTAGTATCCTTATCCTTCCAAGTTGTCACTGATGAAAGAATTCACTAGGAACTGCATCTTTACGTGACAAATGAATCTCTTCAACGATAATTTAAACATGTTTGGGCTTGCGGACCTTCAGCCGTGCTAACAACCCACCTGGTAAAAGTGGTCCTGTTCCTGCGCTTCTTCTTCTTGTCCCCGGCGGCGTGAGAGGAGCTCTCCTCCGAGGAGTCGTCCCCGGGCTCCCGGTCCCGGCCGGGCGAGGCGGGGTCTGCCGGCTTCGGGTCGGCGCTGGTCAGGGGGACCCTGTTCTCGTCGTCACTGGTGGAGTGATGGCCGTCATCTGGGTAAGTGGGAGGGAAATACAGGTTAGTTAGAATCGGCAAAGGTGGCCTTGTGCAAGTTATGGTTAGGTTATAGCCTGGGTGCCAGTGCCACACACACAACACACTAGGCTGAAAGTTATGCCCTGCACACTGGATAACTTTTGGTCTACTAGTGTCCTTCACAGGTCTGGCATCTACAATCTGAAAGTTCGAGTCCCTTGCAGATCTTACTGTTGTGCCCTTGGAAACTACACTTGTCTATTCCTCATTTTTCGCGCGCAGGTGAGTAACTAGCGTTTGGTCAGAGACGTCCTTTCGGATGGGACGGAAAGCTACAAAGGAGAGGAGAGCCACACCTCGAACACGATAAGAGTCCATCGCACGCATCGAAAATAGTAGAGGTATATCCATCCCGGCGTGAGTGGTTCAACTTCAAGCCTTACAACTACTTCAATAATACCAAGGAGCTTTCAATATTTCTATCTATATATTCCTTGATAATACATACAAAGGAGAAGTGGTCAAACCAACTGTTTATTTTATGAGAGGAAGCGGGCAGGGGGTAAGTTGTTTCTACTTCTTTATTTACTGCACGACACCAGAACTGATTTTGTCAGCTTTCCGTGCACATTCGTCGCTGCTAAGTTCACAACTGCAAATTGCGCAAAGTTACCTCCAGGTCCACCTTTCAGCGCTCATAGCCTTGGCTGTGTAAAATGAGTTACGACAAGCCGGGATTAGACCCCGTCCAGAAGCCGTCTTGAGTTTTCCTAGCGAATCTGCCGGATCAAAGCGGCTGGCTGTGCGGCGGCCCGACTTCGCGGCTCGGGTTGCCGGCGTCCCGGGGAGGGGCAGATGTGTCCCGGCGGGGGCAGGTGGCCGCTGGTGCCGCCGAGTCTGGACTGGAACATACTAGACTTATATTTAGACCCTGTTCATACCAGACTAATATTTAGCGGTTTCAACCGGTTTTTCAAAAACTGGTTTTTATTTAACCTGGTGTGAACGCAAATTAACCGGTTTTTTAGGGGTTTAAATCCGATTTTCAAAAACCACCTCGGGAGGTGGTTTTTGAGGGGTTTTTCCACCGAAAAACCTGGTGTGAACGCTAAGGGTTTATTAAACCGGTTTTTGCGTCATAATTCCGGGGTCACGGGGTCAGCATCCTGGCCGTGTGCGACCTCCAAGCTTTTTTGATCGCGTTGTTTTGACCAATTTGAGTTCGTTTCCACTGTTTTTCCACGGTTTTTCTTCATTTTGCTATGGAATCAGCATACGCAACCTGGTCGGCGGTCGGGACGCTCCTGATACTTATTTTTGGAGAGCAGGAGTCGCCGAATTCGAAAAAGCTGGGGGGGGGGGCTCTACCGAAACAAAAATGTTGGATGGAGGAGCCTTGTTTCTCAAAGATAAAGGATCAGTGCTGCAGTATATTAAAGGTAAAGAACCTGAAGAAAGCATACAAGAAGGCTACAACAATTGGAAGAGCGGGAGGAACGGTTATTCAAACTGCAGTCATGGCCGATTAATTGAATATTCACCGGACAGGGTTTTTACAAAACCGGTTATGAAAAGTCTGGTATGAACGCTAAGGGTTTTAGCCGGGTTTTCCTCCGCTTATTATTTAGCGGTTTCAACCGGTTTTTAAAAGTCTGGTATGAACGGGGTCATAGTCTCCACCAGACTCCTTTGCAGGCTGAATAAATAGTAGAAATCGGCAGGCAAGCTGGACCCTCTATGGCCGGCCAATTCATCTGGCCAATGATGTTCCCCTTAGCCGATTTCTGCTATTTATTCAGCCAGCAAAGGAGTCTGGTGGAGACTAGGCGGGGTGGATGTCTGACCGGGGCCTTCGCGAACCCCCGGCGGGGGCAGGTGGCCGCTGGTGCCGCCGAGTCTGGCCGGTGCTCCCGCTGCATGTGGCGGGGACCGGGGCGGTCTCATACAGCTAAAAAGGCTGACATTCAGGTACCGTGTCGAGTAGGACTGTCGGTGTACCAGCAGATGGTCAGAAAATCATCTTTCCTTACATCGTCGAGCAAGGAATATTAAATTCTGCTGTCTTTCCTTTATACATGTCTTCTTTCTTCGTGCTATTTTCTACACTATTTTTCCTGTGAAGTGGTTGCCAGGAAGTCAAAATGTGAAAGCAGATGGTCGGACAAACCTTCCTTCTGTGGACTACTTTAACTTCTTACTAATCTGTAGGTCAGAGAATCTTTTCTTCTCCTGTCTTTTCCTTACTTCTTTCTTCATGTTTTTAAAATACAGCTGCTATATACTTTTATTTCTCGTGTGACGTTCTGAACGACAAAAGAGCACAACAAATACCGCAGCTAAGATTAGCGATAACCAGGGTAGACATAATCGTCTCTCTGTGTCAGAGAACAGACCAAGTCATTACCCGAAAGCCGCCTTGCCTGACAAGCCTAATCCTGACCTAAGAACACGGCAGCAGAACAACTCCCCGGTCTGGAGACGGCGGATAAAACAAGTCAACTTGTTCGTCTAGCCTAGTTACTACTCTCCACAGGCCAGGCAGACTTACATAGCCTCTACCAGGCTTCGGGAGGCGGCTGGGAAGAGTAGAAATCGGCCAAATAGAGACTAAAGAGAGATAGCATGCCGGGGGAGTTGGTCTGCTGGAAAGAACATTTTGCCGCTCCCGAAAAATGTTCTCTCCAGCGGACCAACTCCCCCGGCATGCTATCTCTCTTTAGTCTCTATTTGGCCGATTTCTATTTTTTACTACCGCTTTCCGAAGCCTGGTAGAGGCAATCACGCCGTCCCGAGAGAACTACCTCAGACCGCGTGTCGAAACGGCAGGCGCCGCGATGTTTACTTCGCGTTAGAGTGAGAAGTGTGACCGGCCCGTGTGAACCAAGCTCTAATCGTGCTGTAATGTGTGTACTCCTGTGTGTACCCGGTCCCTCACTCCGCAATCAGAGGTTTGATGCGAAAGTAAACAAAGCGATTCACACGGGCGGTCAAATCGCGTTTATAAGCGCCTTTCCACCAGACTTGAGGCTGCTACCGACGAGCAAGGACCTTACATAAGCATAACGGAGTACAAAAAACTTCCAAATCTACACAATAAAAGTGAGTTCTTTGAAAATGTCTAAATGCAAGGAGCTAAAACTGTGCCTGAAGAAGGGTTGACAGTTTGGTTGAACACCAAAACATTTGACTGATCGCTAATATTTCATGGATAAAGATTCAAAATAAATTAAAAGAACGATTTTTAAAAACGTTTCGCGTGTGAAATCAAACTTCTTGCATCATATTACAATCGTGAAATAGTCGAGTGATCGTCGTCTGGTCCACGGACTAGCGAAGGAAAACAAATTTTTACAAAATCGTTCTGTACTTTCTTGTGTTTTGCTGTCAATTAAATCATCGTGCATCAAATTCCAAAATATGTGAAATTAAGGCTCACACAAATCTAGTTTTGGATCGGTCGCTTGACGTCTAGTGGAAAGGAAAACAGATTTTTCTCGGTATCCTGTTTTTCTGTTGTTTCTTGTAATTAGCGGCGTTTCACAGAACCGTGCGCGCCACAGGCAGGAGGAACGACAACAACCCGGTCTGGAAAGAAAACATTATTTTTCCTGCTCCCGGGGTTTAGGAAGTGGTAAACGGTTTATCCAAGGTGGCCGGAATTCCGTGGAAAGTGGTCTAAAGTAAAGAACAATACAAAATACCCGATCAAATATAGCCTCTACCAGGCTTCGATAGCCTCTACCAGGCTTCGGGAGGTGGCTGGTTTATTCAAGGTGGGCGGAATTCCGTGGAAAGTGGTCTATAAAGCTAAAGAACAATACAAAATAACCCATGAAAAAATAGACTGGTTCTTTTAGCTAATTAGCCTCTATCAGGCTTTGGGAGGCGGCTGGAAAGACTACGGTCAAATAGAGAGATAGCATGCCCGTGGGAGTTGGTCTGCTGGGGAGAACAGTTTGCCGCACCCGTTTCCAGCCGCCTCCCGAAGCCTGGTAGAGGCTATGGTGCCCTTGCATTGTGAAAATCATATCTATACCGTATATACCGCAAATACAAAGAAAAAGGTACGGGTGAAGGGGACACATTATAACGGTTAAGTTGATGAGAGTGAAGGTTTAAGACTACTTACGCGTATACGGTACAGGCACTCATACGCGCACAAGGTAATATATCTTCATATATCTGAAGTGTCAAGTAATAGTACGACATAACATACTAGTAACCACCCGTCGGTCAAACAAACTATCTAACAAGAGTGCAAAAGAAAGGTGATCATGAAGTTATGAAAGTTGTCAATAATGCATGTAAGAAACGACTGTTTCGGTGGCAATTTCAGCTTTGTCACTAAGTACAAGTTACTTTAATTTTAAACGGTTTTCCGGAATTCCCAACTTTACAACGAAAAGTTTTCCACACGTTGTTCGCGTGTCTGAACTCCGACTGGGAAGCGATACAAGCATAACATACTGTTGGCCAAGACGAGACAACACCAACCACGAACAGATTTTCCACCTCGATCTACCTGTCGAGGTTTGCTGATATAATGATGAGTTTTAAAAGTGGAAGCAAGAAGGTTGGTGGAAGGAAGTACTAAGAGAAAACTACGACGATTTTACGGTCTTTATCCGTTTAGAAGGCCAGGATTAATTGTTGAAATTAGATGACACACATCTGGGATGGGGAAGTCCAAATGAGAGAGTAAGACGAATTAAGGCACGAACCTAAAAACAACAATCGCTTCTCATCGTTAGATGACACGCATTTGGGAGAGACTTGGGTTTTGACTTATTTTGGGCGTGTTCTTATGCTGTCTTATTTTGCACTGGTATCTTTTTCTAGAGAGAAGGGAAATTCCACCTGAGTGTGAAAAAATAACTAAATTATAAGTTACGTGCATATAAAAAACAACGAACTTTTCTCACCGGACTTGGCTGCGGTGTCTAGCGGCGACGCTGCGCCCAGTATCCCGGCGATGGAGTGCTGCCTGGGCGCGGGCGGACTCCCGCTAACCGCCGGTCCCGGTATGGCGAGCAGCCCCGCCGGACCGTACGCGTCCTCCCCCTCGGGCCTGCCGAAGCCCTGTCCCGCCTGGTAAGCCATTCTGGCGCCGCTGGATTTCCTCACGCTGAGACGGACTTGATCCTGCGAAGCAGTCGCGTTTTTTCTTTCCTCTCTTGACAGGACTTCTCCGAGGTTCTTGCCAAGTTTTCTTCTTCGACTTGACAACCCGTTTTCTTCTACTCCAGCAAATTTATACAGAGATGCCGAGAGGAAGGTTTAGCTAAAACGTACACCCTGGAAGCAGATCAGGCGAAATCGCGGCGATTTAGATATCTCTGGAGGACTGCTAACGCGTACGGAATGCGGCGAAACTCTTTTCTTTGACTCCGACGTGGTTTCTGCGAAGTTGTGTCTCTACACTGAACTCCAGGCGGCCCCGCCGGCACACTTATCCCAGCCACGCTGTCACCCGGCCGCTGGGGCTTCCACCAATCACGGCGCGAGGGTTCCCACCGCCAGCCAATCAGCAGCGCCGTAAGGGACATAGCTGCGTGACGGCGCGCGGTCGGGTTTCGGCGCCTCCAGGTCCGTCCCGTTCTGAGTTGGGCTGCTGAGGCGCACATGTGGCACTGTTGGTTTGTTTGTGTAACTTATGCTTCTGCCTCTCCAACTAGAGTAAACCGTGTGTAAGAGCCTGCCGCGTGCGCGTAATGGCAGAGAAATAGCGCCGTGTCCAAGCATTTAGACGTGCGTTCTTTGTGCATTTTTGCTGCGTATCTTTTTTATAAACGCCTCTCTCCTCTGAGTGGTGACTTTCACTACAGGCCTCTACCAGGCTTCGGGAGGCGGTTGGAAAGAGTAGAAATCGGCCAAATAGAGAGATAGCATGCCTGGGGAGTTAGTCATTTGCGGCAAAATGTTCTCTCCCAGCAGACAAACTCTACGCAAATGACTAACTCCCCAGGCATGCTATCTCTCTATTTGGCCGATTTCTACTCTTTCCAACCGCCTCCCGAAGCCTGGTAGAGGCTAGAGACTTTCCATTTTGCCCCCAAAATGTACTCTCTAGCGGACCAACTCCCTCGGCATGTTATCTCTCTATTGGCCAGTTTCTACCCTTTCCAGCCGCCTTCCGAAGCCTGGTAGAGGCTAGGCTAGACTTTCGTTGCCCGTACCCCATCCAGGATACAAACTGTACTCCTTTAGCTGGCAAACTCCTCTGACTTACAACACAATCTATTTCAGTATTTGGCCGATTTCCACTGTTTTTCTTGCAGCCTGAGGAGCCTGGGAGATCGAGGCTACAACGGTGCTCGTTTTTCGTTTTCTCACTTCACCTGGTTAGTAGCCTCGTATTCAGACTTCTGTGGCTTTGGCAAGCTGACCAAGATACATATACTAGTATAAGCTTGGGTGCCAGGCTACTAAAGGCAGAGCATCCCTGCAATATGATGTCAAACAAGTCAAGTCAAGCCAGAAATCCGGTTGAACAAGCAACCTTGCAATTGATTAGCAGGCTTGAATATGGGACAAGAAGAATCATATTTTGACTTTTCTAAACGCTTATTTCCTTTCTTAGCCTCTACTAGGCCTCTAACAGGATTTAGAGGCGGCTGGAATTGCGTGGAAAGAGTAGAAATCGACCAAATAGACAGATAACATGCCAGGAGAGTTGGTACATAATGCTGAGGTCACATTTCCAAACCGGGGCCCGGCCGGGCTGTTTCGATTAACCAAAAATCAACAATTTATATCAAGAATATACGCAAATAGATTATTTGCGAAAACATTATTAAATTTTTCAACCTTTTGTTTTTGTGTTGTTGTTTTTTTGTTTTTTTACTTTTTTTATCATACTTTTAGTTCCATAAGACTGCCCGGCTGGGACCCGGTTTGGAAATGTGACCTCATCATAAAGGCGCGTACAGTTTGCCACCCTGAAGCCTGATGGAGGCTATTTAGTTAATTGCCCCCGACTGGGGAAATGTCACTATTTCATTAGCTCATTATCGGAAGAACCGAAGCCGTGAAGACTTCCTCAAACACCCGTAATGAGGAAGATTCGATAAAAGCCGATTATAAACACGGGAAACCTTACAACATCGGAATCGGCGCGGCCAGTTATTTTTCCATCAAGTCCTTCAGACCTCTCACGGGCCCGTTAGTAAAACACAGGCGGGTAACAACACGGGCATCGCCGGCAGGCAGGCTCTCAGCACGCCGCAAGCTCCGCAAACAAGTCCCCCGACTTCCAAGTACCGTCCCAAACCTCACATTCCTCTGCTACCACGCGAGAGAGGTGCTTATGGAACGAAAAGTATGATATAACGGACAACAAAGCACAAAAAAATTGAAAAAATCAATTCGCTTATATTCATGATATAGATTATTGATTCTTCGTTAATCGAAACAGCCCGGCCGGTCCTGTTTTGTTGACGGACCAACTCCCTTGGCATGTTTAATATCTATTTTAGTATCAGTTTCTACTCTTTCCAGCCACTTACGAAGCCTGATAGAGGCTACGCTGCCGTCCATTTACACGGAGTAGTGTCTATCTAGGCTAGCGAAGTCTGAAAGTTCAGTGACGTTTTAGAAACAGTGACTCTTGACATGTTATCTATTTCACTTCAGTATTTGGCCAATTTCTACTCTTTTCAGCCGCATATGAAGCCTGCCTGTTTAACAGAGGCTACTCTGCCGCACCAAAGATGTTTAATATATATATTTCCTTGCATGGAACAGTGTCTAGGATAGCGAAGCCTGACGTTTTAGAAACAGTGGTTCAAGTCTTTCCGGACTCAGAAGCCGAGGAGCAGGATAAAACTCTGAAAGGTCTCGGCAATGATCCGGGAAGGCCGCTCGGTAAGTTTGTTTGGGAAGGCCGCCCCGCCGTATATTTTTGTACGATAAACGTACAAGTCGCCTGACATACCGGGGCACGAGAGGTACAAGGCTGTTGATTGCCCTGGGGACGAGATGTTTTCTTTCCGAATTATCCCGGAGACCATGATTTGATTAGGCTGACGGTTCTCTAACATACACAGCGCCAAATGGGGGCTGGTTAGAGCTGTTGTCACCGGTAGAACTTGGCGAAAACTTCGCAGTTATACCGGGGAGGGTGTTACGTGAAGGAGAGTTGTGGGTTGATGTGTATACCCCGGTCTGAACGCGCTGTATGTAGAACATGTGCGCGGTGTGTTTGTTACCCTGTGGTTGGTTTTATCTGGTGGGGAGAAGGAGGGATACGGAACATATGGATAGGGAAAGAGAGGGGGGGTAGCCTCCGAAGCAGGCTTATAGAACTGGGGGTTTGGTGGTCTTCGGCAGTTTTCTGATTAGCCTCCGTAGCAGGCTTATAGAACTGGGGGTTTGGTGGTCTTCGGCTGTTTTCTGATTAGCCTCCGTAGCAGGCTTATAGAACTGGGGGTTTGGTGGTCTTCGGCTGTTTTCTGATTAGCCCAAAACAGGGGTAATTCAACCAGGCCGGCTATGTTGTCTATATGCAATCAGAAAATAGCACATAAAAGCTCCTGAAGACCCCCCCCCCCAGTTTCTGGCATGCTATGGACGCTAGGGTGGGGGGTTGTAGGACCCACTGGGTGACGTCGAAATTAAAACGAAATTCCGAAGAGCAAAGATAATCATTACTCTAAACAGAAGTTAAGTTTTCGGCGTTTTTATTGTTCTTTGGTTTTTGTACTGGTATATTTTTTTTAGTTTGCGCCAGCGAAGAAAACATATGACAGTCTGGCAAATGGATACTGCCATCCCTGCCAATTTGATACTGTCTTTGTAGATACCAAAAGATCTGGCTGGAGATTACATAATAATTACATGAGGCATATCTTCAATCTCTAAGTCTAAGCAGATGTTGGAAGGCAAAGTCCGATTTTCCTACTTCTCCATAGAGTGAGAGGGGGAGAGAGAGAGGGAGAGAAAGAGGGGGAGAGAGGGGGAGGTGGTCTGCAGAAAGAACTGACAAAAAAGGGGGAAAGCACATTTTGAGCCCCATCAAAGAGCCCAATTGTAGAGCCTGCTAAGGATAGGCTATCCAGCCTATAGCCTGGATCCTGGACGTTTTAGCTGACGGGCATTCTCTTGGTCACTTTCATTAAAAAAAACTTGAAAAAGCAACCGAAAGAGCCTAGCATCTACTCATGATCTAGGCTATGCCAAGAATGGCTACCACTCGTTGACGACGCGTCAACAATGGACATTTTTCGATCAATCATTCGGGAGGCGGCTGGAAAAAGTAGAAATTGGCCAAATAAAAATAGAGGTAACATGCAAAGGGAGTTTATCTCTATTTGGCCGATTTCTACTCTTTCCAGCTGCCTCCCGAAGCCTGGTAGAGGCTAAATCATTCGGTCAATCGAGTTGGCGGTACAAATTAAAAAAAAAAAAGACGTCCAAAACAACCACGAAACGCTAAAGCTAGCTTCAACAGACCATATACCGATATACTGTGGAAAAACCGCACCAACCAGCCAAGAGGCCTTTGGCCACTGGAATCCACACTTGGCCGGCAGGTACTGTTTTGCAACAGGAAGATGTGCTCGGAGATTAGCGAAACGCTACATTTCAAATGTAGCCTTCGTCATCAGAACCTGGCCTTCCATCGTTGCTAGGATACGTCACCATGGAGACCGCAAACATGTCAACTCCAGTCGGTCCAAATGACCCAGGGACACAGTCTGTGCCGTGCGGTTCTGTAAAGTTGGGGCTGATGTCACTGCAGTACATGAAGCGGCGAATAAAAGTATTTGGATAGTCGACAGGGATCATGTGAGATTACGTGATGGCCTGCCATTACACAAACCACACAACAGAACATGGAAATATTACCCGCACTTACTAACTCACCATCCAAGTGTTAAATTTAAAAAAAAAATACAGTTTTCCAAAATCATTTTTCAAGAGCGGGACTTGCGTTTTTAATTAAGAAAGATCTGTTCATTTTATTAGATATCAACCTGTATATCTTTTTTAACATCTACCTTTGGTAGCGTGCTTCTTTTTAAAGTTTTTCCTGTTTTAGTACAGCGCTAGCTGGCACGTATTTCCTTTCTTAAACTTTACCTAGAGTTCCTCTTTACCTTGTCTGTTCCTTTCACTGCATACGTTTGATAACATTTTAGTAAAACGGAGCAAAACAAAGTTTCTATTAGGTGAGACGCTAGTACGCCATGTAAATGAGAACATCTTCCATTCTCGCGTCCTAACGATAAAATTTCTTCCACACACTCCAGTATTCAAATAAAGACGCCTTCTCCAAGTGCACTATCAAGGTGCTGAGACGAACGCCAGCTCTACTCAAGACGCCCACTGAGACGGCGGTACATCTGTTCTTTAAGACTCCTGATAATTGTATAAATTGGAGGTTTGCCGTGAGGGGAGAGCGAGGTC